CGGGATGCAACATTTCTCAACTATCTGGGCGAAGGCCTAAGGATGTAAATGAAGACAAAGACAGCAGCTCATTCTTGCAAGGAGAATGGCATTTATTTTAACAAGAGTGGACCACTATATACCAATAGCAGGCATGGTGGAAAACTACCAAGGTCTACCAAGGTCAGGAGCTCATGTTCCCAGGTCCCTCAGGCAAAGGAAGGGCAGGCAACAGGAACTTGAATTTAGACAATAAAGATGGGTGGAAAACAGAAATTTGCATTCAGGCTGTACTGGGAGGAGGGAACAATAGGTATTTTGCTAGAAGCTTCTAGTCACAAGCTGGTCAGCAGACCCCCATGGGGGAAGGGTGCAACAAATTTCATTATAGTATCATCATTCTAGTCTATTATTATTGTTAATCTCTTGCTATTGCTAATTTATAAACTCATTCACAGTATGCCTTTGAGGTAAAACAGCATACATGACTCATCGCTATTTGCTGGTGGCCTTTGCACAAAATATTCCACAAACAATGGGGACTACCATAGTCCTAGGAGGAGGTACTAGAGGGAAAGTAAGGGGTTACCTGTAAAGTTATTTGTTGGTAAGGTACTAGAGGGAAAGTAAGGGGTTACCTGTAAAGTTATTTGTTGGTGAAGTGTTTGCTGAACAAGCATGAAGATGTAGTTTGAGGCCCCAGAACCCTTATGAAGAGAGCTGGGCCTGGTGGTACACTTGTAATTCCAGCTCTAGGAGGTAGAGACAAGCACATCTCTGGGGGCTCACAGACCAGCCATCCCAAACTGTTTGATGAGTTCCAGGCTAGTGAGAGACAGGTTCCTGAGGATACTTGAGGGTGACTTCTGGCCTTCCACACGCATGTATGCACACACCCATCCCAATACATGTGTCATCTGTCTGTCTGTCTATGATGGCATTTGGGGAATACCCAGAAATACACAGAAAAGTTTGCAATATAGACAGGAGAAAATGCAAAAGCCAATTAATAATAAATAGATGAGCTATTACCAGACAGAATAGATAGTAAGCAGGTTTCTTCATGAGTGAGTGAGTGGCAGGAGATACTGAGAGTGGATAGAAGGGTGAGATGATTAGAAGCAGAAATGATACCTCAGAAGAGTTCCTGGAAAGCCTCAGTTAACTTTTGCAGGACAGGTAGGATGTCAGTGGTGGCCACACTGGTGAACAGAAGCAAGGGAACCAGGCAAGGATGCACAAGGCCTGCCTGGGTGACTCTGAGAGTTGGGCATCAGGACCAGAAATCTGAGCATCCATGAGAGTCGGGAGGTAAAACCCTGGACATGGAAGGATAAGAGATGACCTTTGGGACTGGTAAAGGAGTTGGGGACTAATACAGTGGACATATAGGCAGCTCTGAAGAGAACAAAGGTCACAGGTCACCACAGTGGGTGATCAGTAACATCAAATGTCAGAGGCCAAGAAGACCAAGGCCCCAAGAGAAACATGGCTGTGTCACACATGTTATGTCTCTTTGTAAAAGTGCTAGATTAATATTAACTTTCCAACTCCAGTTTTGGAGTTGGTTTTGTACAGTGTTAATTATCACTTTAGCGACACAGAGTGTGGTGGTTTGAATGAAAATGACCTCCATAGGCTCAAATATTTGAGAGGTTGGTCCCCAGTTGGTGGAACTGTTTGGGAAGGACCAGGAGGCGTGGCCTTGTTGGAGGAGGTGTGTCACTTTGGGGTTTCAAAAGCCCACGTCCTGTTAGCTTTCTCTCTCTGTGTCTTATAGCTGTTGTCTCAACACATAAGCTCTCAGCTACTGCTCCAGGGCCATGCCTGCCTACCTGCTGCCTTGCTTCTAGTGGTGATGGCTATGGACTAACAGCTGTAAGCAAGCTCCCAGTTAAATGCTTTCTTTTATAAGTAAACGTGGTCATGGTGTCTCTTCACAGCACTAGAACACAAAGTATCCAGTGAAAATATGAAACAAGTTTCTCCTGGGTTCTTACTCCTCCAAAGCGCCTTGGGGCCTTTGGTGGCATTTTGGGCTATGCCTCAGTGGCTAATGGATTCATGATCACCCACCCTAGCTCACATGAGCAGCTGTCTGCTGTCTTTGCTGTCGCCCATTCTCAAATGGCTTGTCCCGCTAAGATGATTTCCTGGGATCCCGGCACTGAAAATCAAGGCAGCCAGGCATCAGAATCTTGTCTTTGCTGTCCTTTTCACGGCTGAAGATTGCACTACAACCCTGGCCAGCTGCCTTGCAGAGACAAGTGACCATCACAAGGAAAACTAAATGAGAGATGGATGATCAGGTGACCCTCATTCCTACCACAAAAACCATGTGTTCAGCTGGGAGCAGATCAGTATCTCTTTCTCTAGTAAAAAAAAGAATCGAATCGACATGCTCATTATCTATGCAGAGCTGTGGAGAAATGTGACAGGTGACAGGCCCAAGTGCTGCTTCTCTGAAGATGTCATTCTGCTTCAGATTTGGTCCTGGACTTTATGAATTAAATGCTGTCACTTCTTTTCTATAAGCTAGACGTGTGCAGAGTTCTGATTTCATTTCTCTTTAGAACAGATTCTAGCTATTTTCATCTGTTTTCACACTTCTATTAGACAAACCACTCTCATAGATGTAGTAAAAATATTAATAATTGAAACCACTATGAAGATACACAGGACATATGCATATGGACTAAATCACACAGAATATGGAGACACATGCTATGATGTGAAAAATACTGTGTGTGTGTGTGTATACAAACACATAGGGAGGTCAGAGGCACCTAAACTGCTGTTCCTCAGATGCCACCACCTCTGCTTACTTTTTCCCTTCAGGGTCTGTCTCTGGCCCAGAACTCACCAAGTAGGCTAGGCTTGGCCTCACTGGTGCTAGAATTATAAACTGCGATGCCTCACCTGGATTATTTTCCTGCCCCATTGCTTCTGGGTATTGAATTCAAGACCTGTGTTGTGTTTTCAAGACAAACACTTTATGGACTGTGCCATCTTCATAGCCCCCCAAAAAGAAAAAGAAAACAACCTGTAACTCCTGGCACTAGAGTTCCTTTGGGAAGGGCGCGTTCTGTGTCTGTACAGGAAAATAATTTGGTAACCAGGTTAGCAGTGGTAGGTAGTCATGAAAACACTGGCTGGGAGATGGAAAAACACCGCATAGAGAGGATGAGGATGGCATTGCAGACATGGTAGGTAGGGGCAAACTGTGGTTTCTGCTGAAGGTAGGGGTTGGTGAATGGAAATGCCATGGCAGGAAACAAACGGCCTTTAAGAAGGAGGGTTTCTAATTTTACGTGTGTGTGTGTGTGTGTGTGTGTGTGTGCGCGCGCACACACACACATATTTCATTTAAGACCACCTACTCCAAACTTTCAGAAAGGTGTGCTTTGCAAACAAGCAAAGAGAGGGGGTTGATTTTTTTTTAGGGGGAGAGAGACTGAGAGAGGGGAGGGAGAGAGGGAGGGAAGGAGAGAAGGAGAGAAGGAGGGAGGGAGGGAGGGATGAGTTACAGGTAAGATGTAAGATGTGAGGAAGCCTTAAGTGCTCAGGGAAAGAACTCTGAACTAGAGGTGACCCCGAGAATGTGTCCCCTGTGGACAGTACAGTCACAGACTGGGCACCCCACAGAGGCGGGCAAGAGTCTTGAGCCGATTTTAACAAGACTCTGTGACAGGTGATGCTGACAAGCTGCAGTGTGCTTTTTCAACCCTTTGCTTCCCCACTTTTTTGAGACAGTTTCACCTTGTAGCCCAGGAGGCCTCAAATTTGAGGTAAACCTCCTGCCTCAGTCCCCCAAGCTCTGAGATTGCAGGTAGTTGAGAGTCACTACGCCCAGCTCCATCATAAGTTATCTGTCCTTTTGCCCCTCTCTGACAGACTCTCACACATCCCAAGCTGGCCTTTAACCCTGTGAGGTAGAGGTTGATGCTGAACACCTGATCCTCCCTCCTGCCTCCATTCTCCTGGGGTTACAGGTATGTGCCACCATGCCTGGTTTATATGGTGCTGGGGATAGAAACCATGGCTTCCTCCAAGCCTGATAACGTCTTTAACAAATGAGCTCCATGCCCAGCCCTAATTTCTCAAAAGACATTATGAGAAAATGCCAAGGCCAGTAATTCACTTCTTCCTTTATTAATTTCTTTATTTCCCCATCCATAAAAGCTAGAGATTGGGCCTAGATAAATATCCCTAGGATTTCTATTAGAGCTCTGATATTACATTCCCTTTGAGGTAAATTTGAATACAGTAAAATGTACTAATCTTAACTGCTCCATTCCATGTGTTCTGACAACTACAGACACTTCCCTGACCTAAATCACAGTACTTTTTAATCAGTACAGGACAACTTCCCACTAGGCCAAGTCACCTTCAATAGCTAGCCAAATATTTGGACTTTTATCACGACTGGATTAACTAGTGTCCGCAAGCTACTGTGAGGTACGGCTTCATCAGCATTAAGGTTTCTCACAGGAACGGAGGGATAGCTCCATTTGCAGACTAAAGCGTCAGAGCAAATAGGTAAGGCGTCAGAATCATCAGCTACCAAGCAATTAGCTAGGACGCTGTGTGAGAATCCCAGCCCACACTATACGATCCTGGAGAGTCGGCAAACGACTGCCTAAGACAGCTTCGAATTCGCTGGGTGGGAGATCAGGGCCATTTATGAGTTCCAACGAGTCCCGAATATTCCTGAAGGCTGTGTGCACACGCCATCTTTTGCAATGGCTCGCTCCCGCTCCACTCCCCGGAGAAAGTCAGGAGGGGCCTCCAGTCCACAAGGTTGGCTCTCAGCGAGGTCGAATACTTTGACCGAGGAGCCGCGCGCTCTGCAGCCGCACACATCCCTCAATGTGGCAGGTGCAGCACACCTTGCCTAGGGTCTCTTCATCGTGCCAGGTGAGGTCGCAGTGCTCGCAACACTGGCCCCTGCACATCTTTCCCCATTGCCCTGCTTCCCAGGCTCCTCCCAGAGCTGACTCAGCCTCACGCCCTTCCCGTAGCGCTGTCGCGGCTGCCATGGCAACCGTTCGCCGAAGCCTCTCTGCCCAGGAGGCGAACTAACGGACTCCGGGCGGTGGCTGGTGGTGCCCCGCCCCTCTCCGCCCCGCCCCTTGACAGCCCTGACCTGCAGGATCTAGGTGGTGAGCCCGAGGGGTCGGCGTGACCGGGAGAGTCGGGCTGCGGCGCCCAGGTGGGCAGTCCCTGTCCGCATCCCCTTGATGGCCCTACATTAGGCCGCTCCTGGGGAGGAAAAGTCCGAGAGCCGCGGAGTGGGGTGGGGGTGGGAGGACAGTATTCCCGGTTGCGGGGCATCATGGATCTTGTAGTTTGGCGATTCCTCAGGCTCGCCGCCTCGGCTGGGTCACTCGGTCCCGAGAACTACAAAGCCCAGCAGTACAGAGCGAGGCTACTGATTGATAGACTGGGAGCGGACCGGAGAGCTTTAATGGGGCTCTTTGTCTGCAGGGGGTTCCGGGGTGGTCGCTGAAGTGGGCATTGTGCGCCGGGCTGGGGACGCGCAGGTGAGCCGTGGTCCTCAGTGCTGTGCTCGGCCCGGCAGCCACCGCACTCGCGGCCCCGCCCCATCGCCACGGCGCGGGGCCTGGGCCTCCTAGGGCACTGCCTCTCGGTGCAGAACCGTATGTATGGCACAAGGTCCACGAGAGACCCGACGAATCCGTCATTCAAAGGCTCTTTGCCTTTCCCCGTGAATTTCTAGGTATTTTTGCTTATTTTCAAGTAGCTCAGAGCTGTTGGCATATTAAACCCATTCATTAGTGTGTGTTCGGGGACAGTAGTATTTAAAAGGATGGGCGTGAAAGCAGATGAACGATGCAACTGTTTTCTGGCGGTGTCTAGTATTTTTTTTTTTAAAAACTTTTTGCATTTTAGCTATAAGGTTCAATATTGTGGAATAATGACCGCCCCTTCCTCCTCTGTCCCCCATTCACAAGCCCTAACGTTGCCTACACATCTTTTGGTTCTCCTTTGAAGTCCAGTTAAACTTTAAATGGTTAGTTAACTTTTAAAAGCAAATAGTTTTTAAAGACAACGTGTGGTATTATTTTTCTTGGTTATCCTAAATAACTTTCTTTCAAAATTTCTGAGGTGCATGTTTTCACAATGAAACATGCTGTGTCCTGTCTTTTAAAAAATTATTATTACTATTTTTAAATGCCATGCTATGGAAACAGCTTAGCCACAAGAGCTGAGTCAAAGGCCTAGTGGGAAGGAAGCCGAGTGATCTGGAAAACTGGCCCTCAGCATCCTTTAAATTAAGGTTTCCAATAGATAACCTCACATTTGATATTATATGGGGAAAGTTGGGACATCCTTGACAATGTTGTAGACTTGTTATTATTTTTGAATGTATGTGTTTTTAAAAATAACAGCAAAAATAAGACCAGGAGCACTAAACTTATTTTTCTCTCAATTGCGCTGACATCTTTAAATTTTAAAGTATTTTTTTCTTTTGTCTTTGTTTTTTGTATAAGGAGGTAAAACAGTAAGACTGTAGGGGTGGAGGGGAGATCTTATGTAGTGTAGAGATTTGAGGTATTGTAATTATTCATTAAGAAGACTATTCTGCTGCAGATGGTGGAACTAGAGATGAATGAATAGAAGATGGCCCTCTCCTACATAGGCACACACTCATTTCCTCACAATGGTGTGATTGCAACAATAATTTCAACGAGATGAGCCCATTTAATGACTACTTATCTATGTGGGACACTATACACAGTGGTTTGCATTGAGGTCCTTATTTAAGCGTCACAGAGAACATGTGAAGCATTTACTGTTACTTATCGATGACGCAATGGCTTCAGAGAGCTTGTCCAAAGTCACGAACCAGAGACTTCAACCTAGGCATGTCTAATCAAGACCCAGTCACCGGAGTGGTTTCCACAACCACTTAGAAAGGCTTGAGGCTGTCCATGGAGACCAGGGGAGACCTTTGGTATATAGTGTAGACCTTGTTCAAAAGTAAGCATCTTGCATCCATAATCATGAGGAATAGTTTCCTTATGTCTGGTTTTAGAATCAGTGGCAATCTTCAAATATGAATAAAAATATTTTTGCCTCTTTCTGGAGAGTGTCTTTAGTACTCATAGAACTCATGAAGCTGTTGGACCTGGAGTAGTTTGGGGAGGTGTTGAACAGAAAACTCAGTCTCCCCGACTGCCAGGACTGTTGAGCTGGCTCTTAGTTTTTCTGGAGTAGGTTTGGTGACCTCACAGACTTGTCTGTTTCAGTGAGCTGTCTGGCCTTTCACTCTTTTTGAAGCTTGCTGTGCTTGCCCTTTTTCATCTCTGATTTTGGTAGTGTTCCCCCTTTCCCTAGTTCCTTGTTCATTTTATTGAACTTTCTGAAGACTCTTCTATTGGCCACATTGGAGTGTTTTGTATTCTTTTTTCCCGTTTTATTTTAATTTGATTGATTTATTCACATTTTATTTTAGTGACAGGGTCTCACTCTGTAGCTTTGGCTAGCTAGAACTCACTATGTAGACCTGGCTGGCCTCCAACTCAGAGATCCACCTGCTTGAGCCTCAGCATGCTGGGATTAAAGTCATGGCCCACCTCTGTTGGGATGATTTCTTCTCTTCATTATGTTTTCCCTTGCTGCCTCTTTGGGGTTTAATCTCTCCTGTCCTTAAGCGAAAGGTGGGAGCTCTGAGCAGGCACCTACAAACTGCAGGCCAGGGGTCAGTACCCAGCAGGCAATTCTTTAATGACCTGTGAACTAGGAATGACTTTTGCCCTTTTCTAATAGTTGAAGGAAAAAATATTTGCTAACTCATAGAAATGGAAGGAGATTCAGATTTCAGTGTCTACACATAAGTTGTATTGGGATGCAGCCACACTCGCTTTCTCTGGAATGGCAGAGTCAAGTGCTGTGTCAGAGATTGAGTAGCATTTGCATAATCCTTATTCAAGTGGCTGATATTCTGTCAGCAAGTCTCGGAGCTGAACTCGACACAGAAATTATTATTATTTTTTATCAGTGCATACTCATGCCAGAACAAGCAAAGGTAGAAAAATGCATTTGGAATGTTAACTTTTGAGCACAGCGAGTCAGAGGACGAGGCAGTGTGCTTGTGCGGTGACACGGGGCTGTACTGAAGAGGGGCAGTTAGTACATACCACTGTCACCAGAGTAAGCATAACACAACATACCTAAGCTGCCAGAGAAAGCAAAGGCCAGTCGAACCAGCAAGTTTCAGCCCTCTTCCAGGAGAATCTCTTCACAGAAGGGGAACGTGACAGTGTAGCAGTGCGCTGCCCGTCAGTTTACAAATGACTCATTTGTTGCCAAGCGAGGAAATCATCGGCCAATGGGGAGTTGGATTGCAGCAGGGGCAGAATTGTGTCTGGAGAAAATAAACTTGTTTAAAATGATTAGCCTTTTGGCTTGAACGCTAGCTCCAAGCGTTGAGGGCACCATTAATCAATTAAGAACCCAAGGAAATGATTTTGCGTGGTTTTCCTTGGCTCTTGATGAGATGGCAGATGCTAGCAATACTGCTCAGTTGTTTATTTGGGAAGTCGACACTGAGCTTGAAGTGACTGAAAATTGAGTCTGAACAAACATTGTGTGTTGGGGGTGTCGAGGACACATACAGCGTTGTCAAGACATCCAAACATCAATTCCATACAACTGGAATGTTCAAAGATGCGTTAGAAGGAAGGCTGTAAACATCGGTGAGATTGGAAATGAGCTCAGATGGACATGGTTATGATGCTGTGAAAATGTGAGCTAGCTGAAGCTTGTGGTCATCTGTTGTTAATTCTTTGGTGTTTTGTGGATAATATTTATATCTATCCTGTAGTCAGGGTCCATGTAGGGTCAGTATTTGGAATTCCAATTAGCTGTTGTCAGTTCCATGGGTTTGTGTCAAGAGGAGGACAACACCCTCCTTGCCTTAACCGCACAGCTGCCTGATGGCTTAGCAATAGCCAGGTTTTGCACTTAGGATAGAGATGGAGAGTTGTCAGAATGAGAGGTACTGCTCTCAGTCACTCTTACTGAATACCAAGTGGCTTGCTTTTGGCATAAACTCAGTAATATTTCTTTATGAATTCACCCTACACCAAGGCAGAACAAGTACTTATATCAAAACCAAGACTGCTGCAAAATTATTGCTATGCCAGTTAGTGTTTCTGCATACTATCAATGTTGTTCAGCTTTCCATATAGTCAGAAGGTAAAACAAGTAACATCTCCATTCTCTCCTCCCTCTCCCGAAGGTTTCTCCATGTAGCCCCCCTGACTGTCCTGGAACTCTCTCTGTAGACTGGGCTGGTCTCTAACTCAGAGATCCTCCTGCTTCTACCTCCTGAGTGCTGGGATTAAAGGTATGTGCCACCAAGGTCTGGTTGACATCTCCATTCTTATTCATAGTGGCCATCAGTATTCTTTTTTTTTTTTTTTTCCGAGATAGGGTTTCTCTGTGGCTTTGGAGGCTGTCCTGGAACTCGCTCTGTAGATCAGGCTGGCCTCGAACTCACAGAGATCCACCTGCCTCTGCCTCCCGAGTGCTGGGATTAAAGGCGTGCGCCACCAATGCCCGGCTGGCCGTCAGTATTCTTTTGAGTTCAGACTGGTTTTAGCATCATTTTCCAGACTTTGAATTAAATTTCCATATTAGCTATCCATGTGTTGTTGAAGTTCCTTTTAGCTTAATCATTAATTGGTCTTAAATAATCTGTAGAATACATTATTTAAATACTCTCTGAACAGTGACTATGCTGACTGGAAATCACATGGCTGCAGTTTGCTAACATTAGGTGGAAGGACCAAACTGATTTATCCCGAGTCATTTAAGAAAAGACTTCACAGATGAAATACATATAGTATTACTAAAACCCAGCATTAATGACATGGTGTTTGTGTTTTGCAGCAGGGAACAATAATTCAGTCATAAGCTTTGAAGAGAGTTGATTCTTTATATTAGGAGATCTGCTTTACAGAGTTACTGTTATTTATGTTTTTAATTTTGTCACTACAGAATATAGAAAGTTTTATCTTGTAATTGTTTACTTAGTATCCTCTGTTTTGCTTGTTAGTTCTTAGGACTTAAATGCTTGTCTGAACCTTTACAAAAAAGGATACCAGGCCTTTTGTTATATCAAAGTATTTTTCCTACATAATGGTATACCTGTACACATTAATATAAGTATTAATATAAGAATTAATATAAGTAATTTGCTGAACAGCAACCTTAGAAGAACATAATTCATGGAGAACTTTGCCTCTGCAGGTTGATTCATTGAGGCTTAGCTAGTCATGTAACGAGTCAAACTGTTGGGACAGATATGAGCCGTTGACTCTCATGGTTTTGGGGTTCAGTCTGTGGTGGCTGCCTCCATGCTTCCGGTTCTTCTTGAGGTAGTTAGTGCATTAGAGCAGAAGGGCATGGTGACAGAGCTGTGGCCCCAGGGAGCAAAGAGAATATGTGTCCCTTTCTGCCTGGGTCCCCAGCCTGTGAGATGCTGCTACCCACATTCTGGGTAGGCCTTCTTCCCAAGGTTGATTTTTCTCTGGAACATTCTCCTGGATAGACTCAGAGAAGTAATTACTGATCTCCAAGGCACTTGTTTAACTTTTTTTAAAGTGTATGATTGTGGTATGAATGCATGTGTGTGTGCATGTTTGTGGGTGCACATGTGTGTGTAGGTGCACTGGCATGTATGTCAATAAATCATGTGGTGGTCAGAGTGACGTCGGGGTTCTCCTCCTTTGCTTTTCACCTTTTATATTGAGGCAGGGTTTCTCACTTGAGCCCAGAGCTTTTTGATTCCACTTTCTACCTTGGGAGAGTTGAGTTACTTAAACCACAGTGTACTTCCCTAGGAGGGGAAGAAGAAAACTTCTATTTTCTTTATTAGACATTTAATTGACTCGCTGTTGCAGGAGATAGCAGGGCAATTTGTTCTCTTCCTAGGGCCCCCCTCAGTATTTTGGAACTTTCTGTGCTTATTGTCTTGGGAGGAAAGTGTCTTTCCTGAGAAGCCTTGGGTGACTAGGAGACTTTGGGGAAATAGAGAAAGCCAGCATTGCTGAGCTGAAGCACTGGCCTAGAAACCAGAAGCTCAGGGGGCCTTCCCAGCATCAGATGGATAGGTCCCAGAGGGTAGCATCAAATAGGATGGGAAGATAGCTCAGTGGTAGAAAGAGAAAGCTCATTCATGAAAGTTATCTGGCCATCTCTTCCCTATACAAGTGGATACATAATTAAGGAGAAGGAGAAATTGAGATGCAGAACTCTCTCACAGCTTAATTCATACTTAGCTTTGCTGTATGATACAGTTATGGAATCTAGATGATGATGGGCGTCCATAGACTTTTTTCAAAGTATAACCTGAAGTGTGACTTCTTACTCCTGGGGTCCAGGAGTCTCAGCTAAAACAGTCAATGTTATGATACTTAACAATATTCATACACTGCTTTTGATGTTATAAAGAAGCAGCTGAGCAGAAGAGACTCTCATGGATATATCTGACTGAGCTGGTAGCAGTTAAAAATGAACAAGGAGCATTCCTGTCCGCTTTTCCCCATAAATGTCTATCATCTAGGTGGCTTTCCCTGTTACCTCCCTGGATGTTCTGTGACCTCCTGTGTACTTAGAGAAGTGGAAATTTAGTTCAGTATTAAGGCTATTTTGACTCTCAAACTAGTTTGATACACATGCTACAAAACTGACAACTTCTAAAATCAGAGCTAAGAACCTTAAAAAAAGAACTGTATTTTACCATTCAGGTATCTGAAAGAAGATGAATTTGGCAGAGATTTGTGACAACGCAAAGAAAGGGCGAGAGTATGCACTTCTGGGAAATTACGACTCATCGATGGTGTATTACCAGGGAGTAATACAGCAGATCCAGAGACATTGCCAGTCAGTGAGAGACCCGACTGTCAAAGGGAAGTGGCATCAGGTAGGACAGCTCACAAGTGTTCCATGCACCATGGCAGCCATGTTCTGATAGCTTGAGGAAGCAGAGTTGGGAAATTAGCCAGAGAATTTACACATTCTTATTGGTTTGAATACTGAAATACATTTCACACTTAAGTCTACATGAGGTTCTGGTAGACTGCCTACTGAGTAGTCTATGTATTTCTGACCATACATTTTAATCTTTGAGGGTACTTAATTGTAGTTGAAGGTTTTCTTAATTTTTTAAAATGTTCGTGCCCAATTGTATCTGCCAACAAATTTTAAAAATTATGTATTTCTTGTTGCTGTCTCTCCTTTCATTTTTGTTTGTAGTTTTGACCTATTTCATAAAAGTTTTCCTTGAAAGTCTCCTCACAAGCACAAATGGGTTGGTAATATAATAAAGACACATCATTTCTGTCTTTTTGACTGTACAACTTGATTATATAATAGTACAGTTAATGCAAACTTGAATTATAATTTCCCCAATTATTGTTGCAACTTAAAATCCTTTTAAAATTAAAAGTACAAAGTCAGACAGCGCTTTGAAGTTTCCGTTTCCTCTGGTGCCTCTCCAGAGGCCCCCTTATTTCTCTACACGTCACAAATTAGTGCTTCCTAAGTTTTGAGGGAAAATTGGGCTCATTTTCCACCGTAATATTTACCAAATTGCATTAAGTAAGAACACACTTGCTGTAACTTGGGCAGAAATTCTTGGGTCTCTGGTTTTTCCTGCCTCTCACAGGCAGGATGCTTGTTTCGTGGTGGGGAGTGTTTCTTTTGAGATATTCCTGAGTGTACTTTCCAGGGGCCTGGCATGCACTGCTCCTGTGTCCTGTCACACGGCCACACATGCTGGCAGGTCCCTCTCACTGGGGTCTTTCTTTGGTTCTGCAGTTTCCTCGTGAGTTCTTTTCAACATCCTGTTCCGGGAAAATTTCTTCTGCCCCACTTTGGAGTTCATTGTGCTTTCTGGTTAAAAAATTACTATAATTTTGTTAAAAGCAAGTTTATAAATACAACTTTTCCAGCCATTGTTTGCTTTTGAGAATTAGCATGGGTGCCAAGTTTGAAGACAGTACTTTGTACATGGTAGGTACTCAGTTATGTTTGTCAAGTGCAGGGAAAATCTTGACTTAACTCCAGATAAACCTTGCCCAGGACTCAAAAGAGTTGGAGGTCCAAAGAGGTTGAGGCGAAGGGGATCACAAATAAGGGTGGGTGGTATGTGGTCCTTAACAGCATCTACAGTGGCCAGACTCTCAGGACAAGCATTTCATACTTCATGACAGCAGGGATGGGAAATGGGGGTGACAATTTTGACCAATTTTATTTTAATCTCTAAGAATATTGAAAGATTTAACGTAGTATCTTCGATGTCTGGGGCGAATAAGTTGTTACTGATTTAAGTGCTTGTTTTAAGCTATATTAATAATCAGTAATTCTTTATTAGACACACAGCTTTTCCTTCTGTGACAAGGCGGGCGATGCAGCCTCGGCCCTCACAGGTCTCTGCTTCTCTCTGTCACTCTGAATGACTGTTGTTCATGTTTCCGTGACTCGTTTTGCACACTTTGACTGACACTGAGACGGTTTACACTCTGTAGTCAGCTATTTGCACTTTGTATGAGCTTTGAGCAGCTTCTGACACCACGGCTCCTTTGTTAAGGTGCGGCAGGAGCTCTTGGAGGAATATGAGCAAGTGAAGAGTATTGTCAGCACGTTAGAAAGCTTTAAAGTCGACAAGCCCCCAGACTTCCCTGTGTCCTGCCAGGATGAGCCATTCAGAGACCCAGCAGTGTGGCCACCCCCTGTCCCTGCAGAACACAGGTAAGTGACACTGAGTGTAGCTTTATTTGAACAGTTGTGCAGAAGCATTTGGGGGCTTATAAACTTGATGCTTATGCTTGTTCCTTGTAGGGTCCAGAGCCTGTGTTTGGTAAAAGAAGAAGCAAATCTGTGTCATGCCCTTGCTCTCTATGGCCTTACGGTTGTCATTGTAACAGGTATCTGACAGCCTAGCACCACACCTTGGTGTTTGTTTGAGAAGACTGACCCCTTCTAGTGAGCAGTGGGGAGACTGGACTGATTCGGTTGGGCTGCCAGAGCCTTGGTGGAGAAGGGACACCTGTAATTTTCAGTGGCCTGCCATTGCTTTAAAGGTCAGACTGCTCAGGGGGGCATGTAAGGCTTTTGTTCCCACCAGCCTCTCTGACCCTCTCCCTCCCACGGCTCTCTTTCCTGTTTCCTTCTGTGCGCATGCGCTCTTTCTCCGAGGAAGCCCTGGAATTCACTCCTCTAAGCTGCCCTTTCTTCCTCAGGCCTGGGTCAACTGACTGCAGCTTGCAGGTGTCCTGTTGCATTTGCTTGTCTCTTCAGGGTTAGAGAGCAAATGATGGAGGGGCAAGGGCCTAGACTTTGTTTACTTAAAAACCACACAGCAAATGTCCTTTGCTAACACAGAGGCTTATCCCCGTAGGAGTTCAACACTGACTGAGTAACTCCGTTCAGTTGATGAGTTAGGAGACTGAGACCTGGGGGACCTGAGTTAGGTTAGACTGGGATGTGAGATCAGGTCTTTGGGCTTTCCTTCTGTCTCTTGCATGGTGAAGTAGTGCTGGGGGCCCAGCATTGTCCCATAGGAAATACATTTTCCTTTTGCCAGTAGCTGGGGCCATCTGTTCAAATATCTGCTCTTTTAAAGTTTTCCAAAAACATTTAAAGGATTGTGAAAAATGGTTAATTTTTTGTTGTTTTGCTTTAAGACAGGGCCTTGTTGTGTAGCCCAGGCTGTTGTGGAATTTGCCATGTAGCCCAGGCTGGCCTTTGTCTCTGATTCTCCTGAATTAGGCCCCCATGTGCCAGGATTACATTCAGCACCATCTCAGTCTCCTGAATTCTTTTAGATTTTTTTCTACTGAGTTACAGGTGGTTTGTGATTTCTCTAGAAAAGGCAGGCGCTAGATGAGAATTCTTTCTTAAAGAAAATGATGTGGTTTTGGCTTAGGTAGTTCCCCCTTCCCCCAGAGGGCACTGTTTCAGGAGTCATGGTTGTTTCTGGGAAGCTCCAGAGTAAACACTGAAGGAAAAAAAAAAAAAAAAAAGGAAAGTAAGACTGGGACTGTGGTCTGTCAGGACACCACTTTGTCCCTGTACATGCAGTTAGTGGAATGCCTCACTCTTTCCTGGAAGTCATTAACTCCAAAATAGTCTTCTGGCTTAAAGCTAAGAGCTAAGAATATATTTGCATTTTAGAGGACATGTTTGAACTGTTACATCACCACCATTAGTTTCAGGAGGCAGTGCTACAGACAGTAACTCTAGTATTTGTGACTCAGTTGATAACAATTGTGGATAACATTTCCCATCGATGATTGCTGACCTGGAAACTGTCCCTCATTACAGACCCTAACTCAGCTGTCTCCTGCTGTTTGTCCTTCCTCAAATGCCTGTAACATAGATTGCATTTATTTTATACTTATTTTAATCTTTTTTTTATAATGAAAGTGAAAGAGAAATGCATGGATAGACTTTCTTTTTCCACACTATGTGGGTGCTGGAGAGATGGCTCAGTGTGAGCCAGCATCCACATTGGGCAGCCTACAGCTACCTGTGAATTGCAGCTTCAGAGGGCCTTCTGCCCACCCCCCAGGCACATGCATGCATGCATGCACAAACACAAGCTAAAAGTCTTAAAACAGTTCCATCATGTATAGCTTTTGTACGTGGCGTGTGCTTTTGTGTTCTCTGTGGATTAGAGACAGTATATTAAACAATCTAAGTACATGTGTCACCCGGGGAAGATATACTGTATTAGTTATTTTTGTGTCACTACAAATACCTGATTGAAAACAGTGAAGGAAGGCTTAGTGCTCAGGGCTTCACCGGGTGTAGTCGTGGCTGCCTTGGCCAGAAGGCCTGCATGGAGGAAGCAGCTGACAGAGGATTGCTTCTGTTTGCCTGGAGACAGGAAGCAGAGGTGGGGAGAGATCAGTACATACTCCAAGCAACCTTCCAGCTGGCCCTACTTGTAAAAGCTTCACATGGCATTGTCACTGGGACCCAGTGTATAACACATGAACCAGCAGGGACATTCCGTGTACAGACTGTAACACACCTGCCAGCAGCCACAAGAAAACACAGGACAACTCAAGAGGTTGTGTGAGGGGGCGTGTGGTGGGCTGGTGGGGGATATGACTTAGTTCAATGACTAAGTAATAATGCAGGTCATTATTTAAGACTTCAGGAACAGGCTCTGCCCGTAAGCAGCAGTGTCCTGCCACGGTGGAGAATGCTTTAGTGGCATGCATGTAAGGCACATGTCACTGAAGAAACTCAGTCTGGTGTATTGAGCATATGCAAGGGCCATGGGGTAATCGTGTCCTCTCAGCTAAAGGCTACGGGAAGCTGGAGCTGAACACCATTTTACTCTTTTAAAAACTTGGCTTCTTCTTTCCATCATGAAACAAAAAATTCCACCTGGAGATAATGACTGGCTGGCAATGATCTTTAAAAAGACAGTTGCTATCAGCCCAGGTTCTGGATCTGAGCTGCAAGGCTTATTGATGTCCACTTGCTCAGGGGCCATAGTTATTTTCACTGCTCTGAACACTGATTTCAGTGTGTCTGCTGTAGGGGAGTCTCTACGTCATGGGATTAAAGAAGAGAATTCAGTGATGATGCCCAACAGATAATAAATTAAAATCAGTGGTCAGCTTTGAAAAGAAGAGCTGCAGTATTCTCTCAGATAAATAATGGAAGATGACATAATTAACAATTTTCTCATTCAGGAAAACCTCAAGTGATTGTATTTTCTCCTTGAAAATTCTGCATAAATCTTTAGTTGTCTAGACCATGTTGGACAACCCCATAGAAAGAATACTGGGTTTTCAGTGTTGAAGATCCATGATGTTGGTGTTCAAGGAAGAGGGGGCCCCTAGTAACCACTGGTCACTTGCTATTTCTAAGCAGTCTCTCACTTAAGTCCTCAAGTGCCCCCACCAAGTACCCAGACGGTTGTAGCATGCTGACTTAGTGGTGTGACCCTGATGTCCAGACAAGAACTAAGCTTGTTATTTTTTCAGTCAGGACTTGAACCCAGAGCCCCTCAGTGCCAGTGGTCTTATTTGTATCCACTTTATTGTGTCATTAAAGCACACACATCCAGTGGCATTTGTGGGTGCATTTTGATGTATAGTCTGTGTCCTAATATCTACTTGTTAAATTCTTACTAGTGGTGGTGGAATAAAGAAATTGAAAACACTTAATGGAATAAATATTAATAATTTAAATGTAATTAAAACATGTCACTGTGGGAGCACCACACTGGAATTATTATTTTAGTCAATAGAGAATTGTGACTTACTGTTTTCCTACAAAGCCCTTCAGAGATGAAGTTCATGTGCTTGGCCTTGGCTGCTGATCTGGCCAGCCTGTCTGTCCTTCTGTCTGGTCGAGTTTATGGAACTGTAGTGCAGAGCTTCCTTCTCATCTCCCAGTGACTGTCACAGTTGTGCGCACACTGTGGCTTCTGTCAGTGGTTTGCCATGTTTTTTAAAGTCAGACTTTATGTGTCATGGATTTGCTGAGTCTAATCACGATCGTGTTTTAAATCACCAGCAGCTGCTTAGATAAATCAAAGCAGTCTTTTGAATAAATTAGATCCATTGCCTTAAATTTGAGAAGATTGAGCTGTGAAAGTAGGATCATGATGGGAGGTGAAAGCAGTAGTAGAGTTAAACTCTAAAGAATGAAGCCTTCAGATTGTGTCCTTTGTGAGTAGGTTTCTTATAGTAGTGAAGTGATTTTGATAATATTCCACGTCTAGGCTTAGTAAGTACATTCTCTTTAACAAGGTGATCTCTCCTTGTGAGGCCTTAGACGGGATCTGAGGTTGTCTGTAGCTGGAACAATACTACACCGAGTCAATAAAAAATGTTTCTTTCTTTTTTGTGTATATGTGTGAGTGGTTTGTGCCTGTGCATGTGTATATCCATATGTGCATGTGAGTATGTGTGTGTGAGTATGCATGAGTATGTCCGTGTGTGTACATGTACATGAGTGTGTGTGTCCATGTGTGTGCATGTGCATGAGAGTATGTGTGTGAGTGTGCATGTGTATGTCCGTGTGTGTACATGTACATGAGTGTGTATGTCCATGTGTGTGCATGTGCATGAGAGTATGTGTGTGAGTGTGCATGTGTATACATGTACATGAGTGTGTGTCCACGTGTGTGTATGTCCGCGTGTTGTGCATGTGCATGAGTGTGTGTGTGTGTGAGTGTGCGTGTGTGTGTGTGTGTGTGTGTGTGTGCACATGCAGGTACAGATCTGAGAGGAGAACCCTGCTCTGTCACTCTGCCTTATTCCTTTGAGACAAGGTCTTTCACTGTGACGCTCCTGTCTGTCACCGAATGACTATAGTTGCAGGCACTCTTAGATCACACACACTGTTCGCATGGGATTCAAACACAGCAGGTGTTACCCTCAGCCCACTGCTCTAACCCTATAATATTCTCTGTTCACCTTAAAAACATGGTAGATGTTTTTCCCCCCAGCTGTACTGAAGTAGAATCTGTATTTAAGATATGCAGCTTACAAATTGGATTAGATTGTGAAATAATGGCTATAATTAAACTCACCTTACCTCATATAATTTGCCTTTTTTTGTTTTTTCTTTCTGTAGTGAGAACACAAGGTCTGCCTTAGCAAAATTCAAGTATATAGTACAGATGGTTAGTTGTGGTCACCATGTATGCTGTATGTCCAGAATTAATTCCCATATGACTGGAACTTCAACTTGTGACAGTGTAACCTGTGCTGTGGTCTGAG